TAATACAAAATAGAGAGATAATTTTTCTAAAGACCACTATTATTATTGATATCCTGCTGACAGCGACACGGTCGTAATTAAAAAAAAAATAATAACCTTTTGACGTTGTGTGATGTATATCGAAGCAAGAGTTGCCTATTTAAACTGTGTTAAATGCAGGTAAATTTGTTATAAGACATACTCTGTTATAAGTCATATCTAACTTTCTATTTCATCAATTAGCCCCTAGTAAAATCCAAAACATCAGAAATATTGTGTAGAACTTGCTTTTGTAAAAATCATCAAAATCGTACGTTTGGAAATTAAGTTATAAATGAAAAAGTGCTAACTTTTTAATGGACATTTATAATACATTCAGTACCACGGTACCTAGCTGTCGTCGTCGCATCAGCGTTGCTAATGTTACCAACAATATTACAGTTCTTATAGATTATTGTATTTAATATTATATATTTATATAATACTCAATATTTATTAACGATAAAAATTAGTGGTATCACAACAAAAATCCTTCGTAAACTACGTGTAAAAATGACTAGGTAAGTAAAAAAAAATATAAGATCTTTAAGATCTATAAAGATGTAATATCATGAATATAATATTTTAGATTCTGAGTGGAACGATGAATGTATTGATTTTACAATGATGTGTGTTTTTATATTTTATTTATTTTTTATTTTTGTGTCTGTGTACACGATAAGTAGTCAAAATAATGCTTTGATTTTCAACTTCAGTATCTTTTTCGATTAGAAAGTGAATATCGTTGGTGCATTGGGGAGGTCAAAATTTAAAATTCCCAATAGTTTTCACAAGCACCGGGAAAAACAACATAAAAATTAAGGAAAAACGGGAATTTTTACGGAAAATCTGTTTTCGAGAAATTCGATTTTGGTTTTTCATGCAACTCTTAAACAAATGACCATAGGTACATGAAATTTTGACTGAATGTTTATATTAGCATTTTCTATACACCATAAAATTTTCCAAATATAGGAGGCTCCTAGTATATTGTTTCAAAGGCAGATGAAAAACATTAAAAATCCTTAGTTACAGTTTTTTTTTATAAGCATTTAAAGTTCAAATTTTGACAAAATATGGAAAAATCACGAAAAATAGTAAATTTTTTTTTTATTGGATAACCCGCAGCAACATAGGCCATTGGGTGTTGGGAGGGAACTGTAGGTTTTTAGATTGGGTAGGTTGGTACACGAGTGTGTTTGTGGTGGCAGAATTTTTATTGGGGCACCCGTAGGTTTCTGCCATGCCCCGGGTTGGCGGCACTTGTACTCCCGACACCGTGACTTGCCCGGAGAAAAATGCCGCCCAGTGGTCGAGAGGCGAACCCGCGACTGCCAGCGCCGCAGTCGACGCGTTAGACCGCTCGGCCACCTCGTCCCCCAAAAATAGCAAATTATTTTGAGTTAAGAATTCATAAAAATTTTTCTTTTTAAATCTAATATTTGATAATGTAATACAAGATTACTCATTAGTTTGTCTACCTTTATCAATAAAAAAATCTCTACCGGACAGTCAAATTAAATTTTTATGCGCGTTTGAAATTCAAATTTTTACAACATTGGATGTTCACTCGATTTCTCATGTAGCGATTTCCTTATTTTGTTGTAATTCATAAAAAAATAACTATAGATACATGAAAATTTAACTGAATGTTTATATTAGCATTTCCTATACACCATACAATTTTGAAAATATTTAACTCTTTTTGAGCTGTTTACGGATATTTTCATTTTTCAATTTTTTTAGTTTTTTTTCTATGAATATCAATAAAGTTTTATCTGTTGGGCCTAAAAGTGTAAAAATGTAATACAAGGCTCCTGATATATTGTTACAATATCAGTTGAAAAATATTAAAAATACATAGGCACAATTTTTTTTTATAAGCATTTAAAGATCGAATTTTGACAGAATTTTTCAAAATCTCGAAAATTATCAATCATCGTAATTAATAAATTATAAAATGTTCAGTTTTTATAGCTAAGGATTGAAAATTTAAAACAAGATTCGACGTAAGTAGTTAATTCTGTTACCAAAAAATCTAAAAAATACAAAAGCACAGTTTATTTTATGGTCATTTTAATTTCAAATTTGGGACGAATGTACATATTAAAAAACCTAGCATACCTATTTTAGTTATTTTGTTGTGAGTGTATAATACTATTCGTGTGTACTTGAAACTTCTAAAGTACACTATATTATATATCTATGATAGTATCAGGGTTTGTTATTGATGTGTAACGTGTTATAAGTACCTAATCGATATTGTGATATGATTAATTTGGAATTTGTTATAGGTCAATTTTTTTTTAATACCATATATATTTATATAATATGTCTTAAACCTAGACTGACATACCGTCTTCGCTCAGAATTGATATTGTATCATTGAATTCAAATTAAATACCATCCATTATACAGTGACCCACTTGTAACCTACTGTACAGCAGAGCGACATCCACTTACCCACCTTTTTTTATGTTTCAATATTATACTGTTATATTTATATTATATTCCAATTTCCTACTCTTACTAAAGTGCAATAATTTTCCATTAAGTATAATACGCAACTTTTAATACCTAAGTAACACCTCACTATTAAAATAATGTTAAAAAAAAAATGTTAAAGCATATAATGATGTTTTTTGATTATTTTTGCATATTTTTTAAATTTTTGAGAGAATATAATGAGAATATTTGAAGGTTTTTTAGAGAATATTAACATAATATTTTGGGTATTTTAAGAGAAAATAAATCCGGTCTTTAGTTATTGACTATTGTTATCGAAATTCGCAGACATCGTCACTTCGGGGGAAAAATAAATAGGTACAAACACTAAAAATAAACAAAAATAATAGTGAGTTTTGTTGAACACTCGGCAGGAACGAAGTTCAGTGCATGTGATGCGAGACGCGGAAACATATATAGTTAGAAAAATATAAATAAATAGAGATAGAGAGAGAGAGTGACAGAGAGAGAAATGAATGCTTGTATAAATATATCGCGCGCATTGTAATAAAATTATAATAAATTTTTTCTAAGTATTATGAAAAAATGGTATTTTATTTTATAATCATTATAAAAGTACAAAGCAATTATGAAATTAATCAGTATTCTCAATAACAGTAACTATTGGTTTGTGGTAGCTGAAATATGTCACATATGTTTGTGATTGAATTTTTTCTATATATCTCGAAAAAACTGCATCGATAGTGGTATTGTATCTTGTTGTAGATTCTGACGGATTATTATTGATGGTTAAGTCAAATTCTACTGAAAGAAATTTTAATAATGATACGGTTGATACAGCTTGTACTCGATTATCGTTTTTCAAAAGTAAATTTTAATTTCATTTGTTTAATAGATTTGTATGTATATAGAGAAGAAGGTAAATGGAAATCACAATGGAATTTATAAATTTATAAATTTGAGGGGCAAAAATTATTTTGAAAATAAAAATCCTTTCACTTTCCTTATCAATAAAAACAATATTTATGAAAATCCCAATAAATCCTATCAACAACTCAAAACCCCGAGTTTCCCCTTGGCAAGGTGGGTGTTAGTACTCTCCCGGACCAAAATCCATCAAAAAAGCAAAATCCAAAAGGGGGGGAGGAGGTGCCCCCGTTCCCTAAAGCGGAAAACTGTAGTCTTCATAATAAGAATGGTTTCCCCCTTGGTCCGAGGTCTTTAACTTGAATTCCGGCCGAGTTACACTCAACTCAAAATGTGGGGGGTGGGGGCTTTGGTTCCCTAATGTTAAAAATTCATCTGGGGCCTAAAAAATTGAGATGCCCATTGGTCCGGGGTCTCTAAGTCGAATACCGGCTAAGTTATGCTTCGTCAAAAATAATTACTCGTTTAATGGATCCCCCCCCCACTCCGCCCGACGGTCACCTCTACACGCGTGACGACCGATGTTGGGTAGCCTACGCGAATGGAACCGCAGTGTTGCGAGATGGTACGATCCTAGTGGGGACATACGATAATATGAGAGGAGGGAGGGGATATGTAAGCCGGCAGCCGAGCAGGCAGGCACAGCCCCCCACTCTAAATGTTGCGTTTTTCAGTGTTACGCTTTTCGGTGCTGCGATTTTTTTCCAGCGACTCCCATCCACCTAACGCCCTTCGTTCCAATAAAAACCAATTATACCATTAGATTCTTGAGACAGTACCTGATCGCCTATAATATATTTGAAAACGTTATCTCATCGCCAATCAAAATTATGTAAAATCAAAGTGAACACTATTTGTCGACGAGTAGTGTGACGACCAATGTCCATGTACTTTTGTAGCATATTTCGGTTGTCATCGTCCAATTCTTACTTTGATATCATTAATTGTACCATTAGAAGCATTAACTGCTACCATCACAGTAATAAATGACGAAGCAACAAATAATATCGAATAGAGTTGTTACATTATTACATTTGTATATTTTTGTATGTCTTTGTATATTTTCTTAGCCCCCTCCTCCTTTTTTTTTTTTTTTTTGCTGTTTTGAACCGACGGCGTCGCGGGAACTGCTTTCGCATTCTTCCGCGACGCCGCCATCGTTTATTTGGATAAACACAAATGATATCTATACATACGTGGGGGGTAGACGGGACAGTTCTCCGACTTACCCCCCCTCTATACATGACATATAACATAACATATTAACATTTTACATTTTTTCAGCAGTTGTAGAAACGTTCGCCCTTGATTTCCCGTGCGTGCCCGTCTTGGCGAGCCGACCGGAGTCCGCCGCTCTGGGGTCTCGTACATCCTACGATGCCATGATCGTCGTCCCGCCCGTTAGCCCCCTCCTCCTAGTTGTATTTAAGCCCACCTAAGTTTGGACAAGTTGTTTCTGTCTTGTATATTTTCGATCTTCGTAGTAAAATAACAATAAAATGGCTAATAAGGTAAATAATGAAGATTTTTGGCGTGAATTTATACATTTATACCGCGGTTTACCAGCTACTTGAAAAATAAAAAGTGACATGTACAAAGATAGAGTTTTAAAACAAGAATGCTACATTAAGTTAACAGAAAAACTAAAGGAAATTGATCCATCAGCTGATATTAATACTAATAAAAAAAAACTTAACACTTTGAGATCAAATTATCGTCGTGAGTTGAAGAAAGTGATAGCTAATAAAAAACAGGTGCAATTACCGATGATATATTCTTGCCTTCAGTTTGGTATATTGAAGAATTGGAATTTTCACGGGACCATGAGATTCAAATTAGTGGAACATCGATAATGGATGAGGACAATGAAGAAATAATTTTGAATACGACAACACAGCAATCACAAGATATAACATTGGAAAATACAGTATGTAATAATATAATTTTTTTTTTAAAATTAATTCCATAACTCTATATTTTGTAATGGTATAAAGTATATACCTAATTAGATAATTAATATCTTAGTATCACGATGAATACTTACGACTATCAGTAAACGCCGGTAAAAGCGCCCCTGAATAGATCATTATTTAATTGACAATTGTAATTTCAACTATGGATTTTTCCCTCCTAAAAATGATTTATGTGCTACATGTGAGGAATTTAAAGTATCGAGTAATGAACAATTCAACAATATCAGAATGTAGAACAAATGCTTAAAAAAGATACTACGGGAATGGAAAGAAATGAAGACAAAAATAGATGTGATCAAGAAAATGTAGTTGTTTGTTTTGTATTACAAAATTTTATCACACTTGAAAAAACAAATGTCGGCCCAGCGTTTTATAAAAAAAAATTAAATGTTTAAAACCTTATGCTGTGCTCGCTCGGACAATTATAATTAAAAACATCCCTCAACTTGTTATGAATTATTTTTGCATCATCATTCTGAAGACGTTGATAGGTCAAAAAAATTGTTATTTGTTATACCTACTTAAGCTAGGTAAACCTTAAGCGTTGTACGGGTGCGTAAAACACCGAAAATCGTGAACTTTGTAAGGTTATGCGATAACAACTAATGATTTCCGTGAATTAATGTTTTCATCATAAATCTTATAGCTGGTTGCAAACCATAGGTTTCCAAAAAAAAAAATTGAAAAATTTGCTTGGGTGCTAAACTATATGGTTTAGACACTAAATTAAAAAAATATTCTAGGGTTTAAAGAAATTGTCTTCAAATTATCACTTTTAATTATTTTATATAGTGATATTATTGGTAGGGTAAGTTAAACAACTTATGTTTGTTGTGAACTTACATACATTTTGTGAACTGACATAAATTTTTCCACCTGTAACAAAAAAAGTAAAAAATATTTATACTTGAATTTTCCATAGATACATGGTAAAATGTTTGAGCTATTTACAGTCATGAGAAAATTATTTTGTAAATTATTTATCAGTTTAAAATTCATAAAGTTCCTTGTCCCAACCATTTTTTTTTTATAAATTTGTATGTAAAAATTTAACTTCCCCTGAACTGGGTCTATGGAGTATGGCCTCTGGCGGGAGAATGCATTAGATATTACAATGTCTATCACAGATATAAGCTACTGTAAATTATAATTTATATTATATATTTGTGATGTCTATACATTTGAGGACTAATTTGTTTGGTTAAATTTAGTATGCGATAAATAACTGAAATAGAAAACAAGAATACATTGCAGATCAGTAGCGTATATACAAATTATTTTCACTATGGGCCAATTTTGGCAATTTATCACTAGTCAAGCACGACTTACATAGCCATAACTATACATATTTTAAGGAGCTGCAGGGTGGTTATAATTATGACATAAAAAAATAAATAATACAAATAAAAACTGCGCAATATAATTTTATAATAATTATGTAAAATTAATTTATTAATTGTTTTAAAAAAAAATATTGACAATTTCATATATATATATTTTAATGTTACCTTACTCATTCAAAGTCATCAAAGCAAGTCCTGACAATCATTTCCTTGTTGATACCTCAAAAACGATTTTCATCAACTGGCTAAATTAATCATGGTGAAAAATTAAAACAGTGTAGATATATTATATGAAATGCTTTAATTGAACCTGCAATTTCACTATTGGCTCTGGCCTAGGGGGACTCCACCCTATATACGCCACTGTTGCAGACCACAATCATTTCTGTAAAAGAACACACGATTTATCAATAGACCGTTTATGTGCTGAGTGTAGAAGTTCTATGGATTTATCATATTAAAAAATATATTTTATATCATCTATGGCAATCGCCAATTGTCGACATTCGTCTGTGACGATTAACAATTCTAATAATTTTAGTGAAAAAAAAAAATAATAAGCCATCAATATGGACAGATAGTTCGTTAAGCCGTATATATTATTATGTAAGTTTTAACACGAATTCGCACATTTCGTTATGTTCAGGTAATTTTCATAAAATATTTCGATAATTTCAAGTTACAGTTCGGAACGAGATGAAGATAGCTGTTTCTTCGGTGGCGTCACGTACTGGACGTTTGCATTGTTGGTTCACTCTAGTTAGGTTTCACCGGAAGAGTCGATGTTTCAGCGTAAGTTTGTTTTCATATTATTTTGGGATTTACGTTTTATTTTTAGACATTTTTATAATTAAAAACATAATATAACGTAATGTTGTAGTAGAAGCTGGAAACTATAGTACCTATATTCTAATTAATAATCCAATTAATGTATTTTTTTGAATTTTTTAAATTTTAATGTAACATTTATTATGCCTACACAAACACTACCAACCAAAATTGAATTTTTCACAAAATTTGTTGTTTTAACGATAAATGACAATTTTAGTTCCCTATTATGGTGAAAGTATTTGATACAAACAAAAAATTAATGTTCGAAAATAGAATTTCCTATATATTATTATTTACTAAATACAAAGAAACTTAAAAATAAAACTATGATCATTGATTACATACAGAGTACCTATAATATATTATGCATGGAACACGAAGGTTTATTTTGACTACCTACTAATCGTGTACCTGTACGCATCAAACACAAAATAGAAATAATAACAAAAAAAATAAAAATTAAATACATATCATAGTAAAATCAAAATATTCATCCCTCCGCTCAGAATCTAAAATATAAATTATAGGTACCCGACACAATTAAATTAACATAATATTAAATAATAATTAATAATTTTGTGATCAGCAGTATTCGTAGGAAATGTTAGACTTGGAATTTTACAAATCTAGTTGGTATTATGGAAGGTACTGTAAATTTAATGTACTTAGGTACTGCATATCTTTATGTTAACTCTAAAAGCAGGAATCACATTTTCATTTAATGATTTTTTTAATACAATATTATGCTTTTATAAACATATGCTTGTACTTCTGATATAAATTCACCATATTAATAAATAATTAAATTAAGAAACGAAAATAATAATTAAAATAATATTTATATCATATTTAATATTATTATAATTGAAATTCAAAATTATAAACTATTTTGATTTTTGTCATAATATAAAATTTCAACGAACAAATATTGTTCCTTAACACGGAACTCTTTGACAAAAAAGTTGCGTTACCTATATGATATCCGTGGATTCATCATATTCACGTACCTATACCTAGTATAATATCTATCATATATATTCCATGGCAAATCTCATATTCATTGCAGAGGACACAGTCGTCATTAAAAATTCCAAAATTTCAATAAGCAAAGCAGATGCGTTCCGTATAATTTTATTTTTCATAAATCACAATATTTTAAGTTCTGTATATTATGGAGAATTTCCTCGTCAGCCTCGCAGTGAACATACGTCACGGATTCCGACGAAAGAATCGATGTTTAAAGTAAATTTGTTTTCATATTCTTTTGGGGCTTAAATTTACTTTTAAGAATTAAGATAAATATTTAATGTCACGAAAAATGTGTTATTGTAGACGCATCTTTTATAAATTGTTTTTCCATTCCCCGGTCGTAGAATAATTGTAATTAATAGGTGAATATGAAAATTGTTTACTTGAAAAAGACATATGTTTTGGTTTAATTTATAGAAATATATGTTTTAACTGATAATAGTCATAAAATACAATTTTAATTTATAACTGGTCATTTTTTTTCAAATCCAACGTTATAAGTTATGGGTAACTATGTTAACTTAGTGTAACATAGGTACTCAACTTTTATTGCTCTCCTAATATCTATATCATAGGACTCGTAGATTGTGATACATTTTGTAGAAATTTGAACTTTAAATGCCTATAAAACAAAACATGCCTATGTATTTGTAATATTTTTTAACTTCTATTATATCAACTTACGAGGAACTTTGTACCTATTATTTTTAAGCTTTTTGACCCGACGAATAAAATTTTAATGACTTTTATAGAATACAGAACTAAAAACATTTCATAACTCAAATGTCTTTAATAAATCACTGAAAACGAGTCGAAATATTTTGAACATTTTATAATGTATAGAAAATGGTAGTTTAAACATTGGATGGACATTTTAAATATCGACGGTTAATAGTTGTTGAATAACAACAAAATAAGAAAATGGTTTTACGAGAATCATACACACATTATTGTAAAATCAAAACATTCATTGCTCCCTTAGTCCGCTCTAAAAAACAAACTAAGACATAATAGTTAAGTAGGTATAATACAAATTAAACATTATACATATAAAATGTAATAGGTATCCGTAACGCTTAGGTCATAAGAATATTGTTGAACATTTTACTGCAGGCTGCGTATTATTTCAGAAATGGTATTTAACTCGTCAGTGAAGATTTGTCAACTGGGAATAATATATCATAAGCATACTGAAATGTGTAACGTTGCAGTATTTCGAAGACTAAGTTTTATAGCAGATTCTGATTCGGACACGGGGTATGTATTTTCTTATTTTTCTGCAGTAGATTTCTTTTTATTATAGTTAATCGATCAGGGTTGTACTGCCCGAAACTTTTCAATTATTTGTATTGTAACTATACTGGTATAACACTATTCTGGCTATCAATAAAGTCGTGATCAAAATTAGGAAATTGGTCAGGTATGATATTTTATGGTATGTAGGTACTAATTCTTTTGAGTAGATAATTCGTTTAATTATTTAAATATTTTCACCGATAATCAAGTACGATGACTTGTAGGTAACTAGAGACTGAGTGAATAGGAATTAGGAAGTGTATGATGTAAGGAAGATAAGGAAAGAGGTCATTAGGATTTCAGAGTTTTGGGCGTATGAAAGGGAAATGCGAAAAATATAATATGTTAGGTTAGGGTAGGTAAGTGAAGCGAGAGTAGCAG